TTCAAGGACTCTGAACCAGAATGAAAACCAACATTTTAAAAATTTTTTTTGGAGAAATTTTTGTTATGAAAAGAACTACTGGACTTCCCGTCTAGGCCCAAGCATAGAGCAGATCTCAGGCGGCAGCTTTGTACCCAACCTCACAAAACCCAGAGGAAGAGGGCCTCCCAGGAGCTTTAACTCGGGCAACCTCTCAGATAAAGGGTCTGAAAAAAAAAAGAGAGAGTTTACTTATTTCAAATTATTTTCAAAAGTTTCTAGGAGATGCTAATTGGCTAAGATCTTATTTTAAGCTCTCCATAAAAGAATTTAAGTCTCTGTTTAATATTCTCAAGAGAGATGTAAATCCTAATTTTCCCTCAACAATTAATTGACAAAAGAGAAGTAATCTCACAAAAAGTAGAAGAAGCTATTATTAATCGATATATTATATAGTCTGATTAGTTGTCGACTGTGCTATAACAGTCCTTTGGTAAAAGAGATTATCAATATAGATTTATATTTCTTTAAATAGTGTCTTTGTGACTCTCTGAGTGTGGAAGGAGCGACTGTTGGTGCTTCTGCCCTGATTTTACAAGAACTCTGAAAAATTGGCTTTAAAAACAAAAGAGGGGGAACAGTACCCCCTCCCCCCAGAAGGAGCCCCCCTGAAATACTCTCCATCATGCTTTCTTCACTTTTAACTCTTTAAAACTGAAAGCTCATGGCAAATCTGCTGCTGACTGCCTCTGGCATCACCAAGACCAATAAAAACTATGCCACAGATATGGGGAAGAACCTTCTTACCCTTAAAGGGAATGGCCCAGACCCAGTTCCCTTATGGGGCTGTGGATTGATATGCCTGTTTGATATCACAGAAGGCACAGCTAACCAGCTACCAAAAAGATTAATGAAATAAATAGATACCTCCACAAAGCCAGGCCCAACCATAAATAAGATGAATAACAATTGACATCCAGGGGAGAGAAATCTCCCTGAGAATTCCCTTCTTATCCTTTCCAGGTAAAAATGAATCACCCGTGATGTCTGCTGTTAGAAGTTCTAATCCAGATGCTGGCCTCCAAACTTATACTACTCAGACCTTTGAAGGGCCATTAACAAGAACATCAAACAGCTAGAGATTGACATCACTAATCTGAAGAAATCCTTAGTTTCGCTGTCTGAAGAGACCTCCAAAAATTGCAAAAATCCTTATTGGACTTGATTTACTTTATTACAATAGAAAAGGTTGTGTACAGCTTTTGACTGTGTACAGCCCTTAAAGAAGAATGTTGCCTTTACATAGACAAGACAGGGATGGTTAAAGAGAGCATGAAAAAGGTCAGAGAAGGCCCTAAGAAAAGTCAGAGAGAGAAAGAGAAAGAGAAAGATGAGTGCTGGTACAAGAATTGGTTTTCAGCCTCGCCAAGGTTGTCAACTCTACTTTCTCCCATCTTGGGACCATTATTTGGGTTCTTTTTGCTTATTTCTGCTGGTCCCTGGGTCTCAAATAGGCTGATTAACTCTGTGAAACAACAGATAAATAATTTGGTAGCAAAACCTATTCAGATACATTATCATAAGTTAGCTATGGAGGACCATGAGACTCAAGATGGGGTTGTTACTTTATCCAGGGTGTTCCCAAAAGCCATCTCCACCCAACCTAAAAGAGGGGACTTCCGCCCCTAGATCAGGCAGAGAGGGGCCACCCAGAACCCCCTCTGACAGGTGACCTGAATTCTTGCTTAGGCTGTGAGGCTAAGCACTGCAAGGGAATATAAATAAAAGTTAAAAATCTCTCTCTGGGTTCCTGGAGGGTATGGCCCTCATGCCTCACTGGACAACAACAGGGGGACTGGAGCCATTACAAGGTCCACTTCAATTACTGGAGGTCAGGCCTCTATCTCCCCTCCCCCCCACCCCTTCACAAGTTTAGAATTGCCACAGCCCTTCTATACTTAGAGAAGGGAGAAGATGTCAGGGGCATTCCTGCTTACACACTGAAGGCCTATAATTAGCCATAGGCCTAAAATCAGCAATAGGCCTGTCATACATATATACTAACACCAAATCTTGGGTCTCTGTGGATAAACATTGAAACAGATGGCTATAAGCTATTATAAACAGGCCGCTTTTGTGACAGTTTACCAGCCTGAGTAGTCATAGACCTTGTAATTAGGTAGCCTTGGCAGATAATACCAACTTAGATAAGGACAAGTGAGTCATAGGCAGAGTCATAGCAACCTGTCCCCTGAACCTTCACCCAGCCGATATCCTGTTCTGAAAGATATCTGTATTCCCCCTGAACACCCATGCTCCAGTGTCATCCCTTTCCCCATGTCTTGCCTTTTTGTGTGTATAACCCCTGTGTGAATGAATATAGATTACGATTTGAAAAAAATAAATAAATTATTTAAAAAATAAATGAAGACAAAGTAAGGCACTTAAAATTTCAGGATGGAGGAAGTAAAGTCAATCACAGCTCCTTCCACCAATGGCATTTATTACAGTCTGAGGAAGTTTTACATTCCCGAATTTGTTATATAACCTGACAAACCTGATAAAGATAAGGATCAAATAATCCAGATAAACACTTAGCAAACTATTTAGGCATATACATAAGCAGGGCTGAAATGTCTTACTGTTTACTATGTAAAATTTCACTATGTCTTAGCCATTGGGAAAGAAGGTACAGTATGAAGGGGATTGTATACCTAACAGTTTTATGTCTTGTGTTTTGTAATATTAGATTCACAATCACAGCAACATTATTTTATTCTGAAAAAAAGAAATATTTCCATGGCTGTTTCAATAGCACAATTTTTGTAGAAGAAAGAACATTCACCAGAGACCATGGCAACTCTTCTGAAAAAGTTATAGGTACTTTGGCAGTTTCTCCTCCATTGAAAGACGTGTGTGTGTGTGTGTGTTACACAAATTTCTGTAAGTAGAAATTTGGTGGACAGATATTGCAGATTAAATAATACATCACTAGTTAATGAGAAATAACATGAATATATGGAAGTTTTCAAAAATGGACTGAAATGATATACTGAGATTTTATCACTTACTATAACATAAAACCATCAAATCATCCACTATCATATGATTGAACTCCCCTGCTTTGAGAGAAAAACATTTAATACGAATTAGACTGAAAAATATAAACAGCATCAAAATTGAAAAAAAAGAAAGAAAGAAAAGGACTACCAGGCAAATTTTCAAATAATACAGTAAATAAAATAATGAACTAGATTTTTAAAAAAATTATTGTGATTAAATCATATTTTTATAAATATGTACATTTTATAAATAAATTTTATTTATTGTGATAAAAATTGAAGAATACATTGTATATCACAGTACAATGGCGTGATCCAGACTCGAGTTCTGTGAGATAAGTAAGCTGTTAGATAAGCTTATCTTTGTGAAGAGGTGAAGTGGAGGGTGAGGGATGCTTATCTGCTGGCTGTGTGTGATATGACAGCAACCCTAACACATCTGTGAGAAGAAGGACAGCCTTTCAGTGGCAGACAAGATTAAAGGCAAAGACAAGAGTTGAAAACTGAGAAGAGCAGTTTCTACAGCTTGTTATGACATGGCCTGTGGTTTTGCAACAATTATCAAATAAATCACAATCTTGATATTCCAGAAATGCAAAAGGTTATCAGCCAAGACCATATGGATTCTTTTTTGTTGTTATTGCTGTTGGCTGTCTCAGCTGAGTTCTCATGATGTGTGCTGGGCTGGCCTCTGAATTCTGGGGTAACAAGTGTGTGCATCCCCCCGTCTGTCTCACTTTATGGACTTTTATCAAATATTCTCATGTTATTGCTCATTAAAGAATAAGTATCCTTCCTCTCATGTCCGTTTCTTTAATTGAGAAATCATTTCATTCCTAATGTCAAAGGAGAAAAATCCTCAGGTGACATGATGAGAGATTGAAATTGCAATGTTGGAAACAAATATTAAAAACAAATGGCTGGAGAGAGAACCCATAGAGACCATATCCAGAGGTTAGGCAAGGCCCCTGGTTTGGGGAGGGGCTACCCACTCATCTCCAAATTTTTAACCCAGGATGGCTCATGTCTAAAGGAAATACGGGGACAAAGTGTGGAGCAGAGACTGAAGGAAAGGCCATCCAGAGACTGTTCCACTTGGGGATGCATCCCACATCCAGACACCAAACCCAGACACTATTGCAGATGCCAAGGAGTGTTTGCTGACAGAAGTCTGTTATAGCGTCTCATGAGAGGTTCTGCCAGAACCTGACAAATACAAAGGTGGATGCTCAGAGCCTACCATTGGACTGATCACAGGAACCCCAATGGAGGAGTTAGAGAAATGACAGAAGGAGCTGAAGGGGTTTGCAACCCCATAGGAAGAACAACAATATCAACCAACTAGACACCCCAGAGGTTCCATGGACTAAACCACCAACCAAAGAGTACACATGGAGGGACCCATGGCTCCAGCCACATATGTAACAGAAGATGGCATTGTCTGGCATCAATGGGAGGAGAGGCCCTTGGTCCTGTGAAGGCTTGGTTCCCCAGTGTAGGGTAATGCCAAGGTAGTGAGGTGGGGGTGGGTTAGTGGGAGGAGGAGTGCACTCATAGAAGCAGGGGGAGGGGAGATGGGATGGGGGATTCTGGAGGGAAAACCAGGAAAGGGGATAACGTTTGAAATATAAATACATAAAATATCCAATAAAAAAGAAAGCAAACACTCAATAGAGTACGAAGATAACCAACAGAATAGGAAAAATATTTAAAATGCATACAAAAGAAAAATAGTTGATTTTCAAAATACAGGAGGAATTCCAAAACTCAATAGCAAAATAAAAAATACTCAGTTAAAAATAAGCATTAAAGGTAAACATGTTTCTCAGAGTATATGCAAATGATCATTAAAAGAATTTGAAAAAATAATCAATATCAGTAATCATAAAGAAAGTGCAAATCACAATAGAATATCACCCCACCAGGGTATAAAGGACAATCATCAAAAAGACAAAAGAGATACCTACCTGGTACAAGAAATACCATGATCATGAAGGTGGATTACCCATAGCAAGGCTCACACACTTCATTCAGAATGTGCTGCCTCCCTTCGAGTTCTCTAACTGCTGGGAAACTTAACTGCATAATTTGTTGTAATTGGGAGACTGAGTTTGTGCTCCTCTAATTGGGGATGGGGAACAAGACCAAAGATAACGAGTGTCTGTGTGTATGTAGAGAAAAGGAACCCTTGCACACCACTAATTACAAATAAATTAGAACAGCTATTAGGAAAAACAGTAGGAATGTTCTTTTAAAAATGTGTTGGAATTTTTATCCACAAGTATCATTGGCTAAAGGGTTTCAAATGCTTACCTTCTTAATGCTGACTAATGTGTTTGAGTGTGGAGATTAAATGTTCTCTTCTACCATGTGGGTCCTTGGTGCAAAACTCATGTATTTGGCTGCTCAGCAATTTTATGTACTGGCTATACTATCCTGAAAGCCCTGAAAACTTTGTTTGACTTATTCAAGTGATTTGAATATTTTTCAGTAGTTTTGTAAATAGAATCAATATAATAAAATCAATTTTGAAATTCAAAAAAAATGTGTTGGAAATGGAGAGACATATACGATACTTTGTTATTTGCACAAAAATGTATAGTATTAAAAGTTAAATTTTGTGTTTTTTAAAAAAGAAATAGCAATAAATGCATATGCCTGAATAATAATATTTGCATGAAGAGTATGGAAATCCGTAGACAATTACTCAGTTGCATACTTTTGTTTACCTTTTTGTATTTTTCTAGCTTTAATAAAAATGAATTATATTTGCAATTGTAATTGCAGATAAATTTCTTGATTAAGAGGAAAGTGGTTGGTATAATTTAATGGAACACATTAAAAAAAAAAACCAAACTGCTATGTTGTCTTCATTTTGGATAAAGATCAAACATAAAGAAATGCTGCTCACTAAAATGTCCTTGAAAATCATGGGATCCTGATGTCAAAGTGCTTCTGTAAAATGGGTTTCTCTGATGCTGGTGTTATCAAAATAAAACACAACATTTGAGCATCACCCGTGAGAAGTACCAAGAGCAAGCCCCATCAGATGCTGACAAGCAGAGACCATGTTAAGAACTTTAATAGTGTAGGTGTTTGTGCAGTGCAGCGACTTGAACTCTCGTACACAGCTCTTTTCGTTGCAATGACAAAGCACGAAGGTATCGTTAACTCATGACTTACCCACCTGTATATGCACTTTATGTGCACTTGTATTGAAAAGGCGGATAGTGGTGGCATTTCCCTTCTTTGTTCTTGTACCTGTTGAAATGTAATTTTGTATCCACCAAGGATTCTATATTTGGAGACTTTATTTTGTTCATCTTAGTTATTTTTTCTGTAATTTATATTTTTAGTGTTTTACTTCTCAATGTAAATGCAAGTATTTTAGAAGAGTTTTAGATTCATAGAAACATGTCAAGGTTAGCATAGTTCTCAAGGATCTCCCTTACAGCATGTTCCTCTTGTTACTGTCCCATATGAATCTTATACAGTTATTCATGCTAATGTACCTGTATCAGTCTATCGCTATTAACAAAGTCCACAAGTCTTTCA